AAGTCACTGACAAAATAGAGAAAAGATCGGTCACAGAGGACCGCCAGTTTATTTTAGAAGTAACTTGGTAGAACAATCCTGAGTTGCTAGGTTGGATACTACCCGCTGGGCTTGGAATCCTAGTTAGGGGTGTGCACACTAAAGGTACGGTACCTGATTCCACAAAGTTATAAGAACCACGAGTACTGATTCTGTGGGCGAGATGAGTATTAGGCCGGCTAGATTGCCGAGCCCGGATAGGTCCAGTCACGATTCGTGAAGTTCCTACCTCCCCCACGAGTTCAGAAAGAAAGCAAGAAAGAAAGAAAGTAATTAGAAAGAAGAGAAAAGTGAGTCAAGTGACTCAACAGAGATCCTCCACAGAAAAGTATTCTTTTTATATAAAGATTGAGGGTATAAGTATGTGTGTGTGTGTATATATATATATATATATATATATATATATATATATGACATATGTTATGCCATGATGTAATTCTATATAGTAGCATATGATGTAATTCTACAAATGAAGATATGCTATTCTATATATATATATATATATATATATATATATATATATATATATATATATAGTAGCATATCTTCATTTGTAGAATTACATCATGGCATAACATATGTCTTATCTTGAGTACATGAGAAGTAAAGTATCATTCATGGCATAGAATATGTCTTATCTTGAGTATTTGAGAAGTGAAGTATCATTCATTGCTTGAGTAGTAGCATGAAAGCATGATCTTACTTGCTAGTTTTATCTCACGTTCATTATATATCTTGAAAGTATCAGTATGATTGAAAGAAGTGCATAGTAGCTTTATAGAAGATCTGTATCTATTTCCAGTACATGTATGTGCAAAAGTATGAGTTATGAGTTAATGTCTGCTGATATGAGAATATAGGTTGTTGAGCATATAAAAGTATATAAGTATATCTATTGATATCTTTTGACTGAGTGTCTTGTTTGCTTATGTTCATACTTGAGAATGTGTATGAATGCAAAACGTTTTCCAACCTATATATATCTATAGTACTTTACAGGGTTGAGTGTCTTTATACTTAGCATTATATGCTAACGGGTCTATTTTCCTGTGTGCTTTTATAACCCCTTTCAGGTGGACCCAGTGCTTGAGAGCGCACGTGATAGAGTAATGCGTGGCTCTAGATTCAGTAGTTATTAGTTTAGTGCCCACTCCCCTTATTAGCACTTTATTGTAGTTGTAATTGAACTACCTTGATTTGATGGTGCGTAGACACCGGGGTTTGTTTCCCTCGTTATGATGTTTTGTGGAACTTTTGACTCTAGTTTTCAGTAGACCTTGTTAGCATGTGCAATTACCGAGAGTGGGTGACTATGGCGGTAACTTTCCCCTTAGTTTACTGAATGGATTGTTATCCTAGTTTATTTAATTTACCCTTGTTTAATCCTATTTAAGAATGATTATATTGGGTTTAGAGTTTTTAAAAAAGGGGGTGTTACACTCATTTTTCAATACAAAGGAAGACGGTATAATTATATTGCACTCACCACCATTCTCTTCACCAAGTATTCCATCACCTAAATCTGCAATCCACTTTGCAAAACTATCTAACTTCTCAACCTCCTCTTCATTAGTAATACTCCGCAATCGTAAATTCTTCGTTAAACGAAGAACCTCACAATTATTCCACAAGTAAGAAGAATTTATACTGGCTTGTACTATGTCCTGTCGAGTACATTCATATATTTTTTTGTTCATACTAAATTAAAGAACAAATAATTTTATTATAATATAATTACAACTTGGTATAAAAAAAAATGTTAAATAGATATAAAGTAATCTGTACCTGGCAGCAGTGGATTTAACAGAATGTTAAAACATAACATTTGTTCTGAATTTGTACCACTTTGAATGTTGTTGGGAAAAGTGGACTGAAGATGATAACTTGACTATTTGTAGTTGTTTCTAAACTTTCATTTTCTACAATTAGAATTTTTAAATATGTTAGAAATTATTATTCACCTAAACATAAGAAAAACAAAGTATATATTTATATATACTTAATATAATATAATCCTACTATATAATACTACTACAATATAAAGATGAGTAAATACCAGCTAAGGTCCCTCGAGTTTAGTGATTTCGCCATTAATAGTCCTAAACTTTCGTTTTGACCCTCCGTCATCCTCCGAATTTCAAAAATGACCTTCACTAGTCCTTCCATTAAGTTTCTCCGTCTCAACCGTGAAATTTTAGGGGCATAATAATCTTTTTGATGTTTATGCTTTGATAATGTAGCATAAATTTTCATTAGAAATGAGTGCTTGGTTATTTTTAGTATCATAGTGCTGTACAATGTTAGGATGTATGTAGTTTGCAATTGTGGTTTATCCCCTGATTGCTATACATTTCCTTGTTAATTGGTTCTTGCTTATAAGTTATGGCTTTAATCATCTACAAATCTTGCTTATAGTTATTTTTAGTATCATAGAGACTGACCACACTGTTAAAACAATAATCTTTGAAATTACTCACAACACTGTTATGACCATCCTCTTTGACATTACTGCATTATTATATGTTATAAAACTCAGTACATAAATTTAATGGGAATAAGTTAATTAAGGAGAAGGGTACATTAGTTGCACTAATTGCAAAATAAAGTAGAATTTATTTTTTTCAAGAGTCAATCTTTCAGATTGTTAACTTTGGTTATAGTTACGTACAACTTCAATTATACACACGGGTGTCCTAACAATCTAACATATGTTTTTTATAGGTAAAATGTTATGAGTTATTCTATATAAAATCACAAAATTTTAAAGTTGTGGAGAAGCAAGACATGCAAATCTTGGTGGATGAACATTGACAAAGGTAAGTTTTAATTAATTTTTCAGCCTATAATTGTAATTTATAAGTATTATTTTAATGTGTTCTTTTGGTTCTAAACTAACAATAGAGTTTATTAAAAACATAAGATGCAAATAATTTAAAAATCAATATTGATAGTGTTTAAAGCATTTAAAGCACTTATAAAAAGGGCATAATGTCAAAATATATTAAACTATCTAGGCATAATGTCAAAATATATTAAACCATCACAGATATAGTATGCACTTAGCAGTGCATATTTAAATAAAAAATTGTTAACAGTAGAACAAAACTTGATGCACTATTTAGTGCATATATTGTCCAAAAACTGACCAAACACAACTTTAAAGATTACAAATAGATTAGGATTTAAGTCTTCTCATGTTTGATGAAAACAACCTTTGTTCTCTTCACTTCTTAACTGTGGATGCTCCTTGGTGGGCTGTGATCAACCTTCAAACTGAATAGGATATGAAATTGTGTATGAAATTAATAGTATATGAAATTCCATCTACAAAACAGAAACAGATTTGTCTTTAAAAGTAATACACTTTTTTTTTGTGTGTTAAACTACCTAGCTTTGAAATCCTGAAATTCCTTGCAGTCATAATTAAACCATAATGAGTAGCATTATAGGAAGTTGATATCCTTACTTCATATACAAAACAGAAACACATTTGTCTTTAGAAATAAACAATGTACAAGGCATACTTTTCGATAATTATGTGATAGTAGATTGGTAGGGAATACCCCGACCGACATGCCTTCGTCCTTTTCTTCTTGTTTTTGCAAGTTACAGGGCGGATTTCGTAGAAGAATCCGGTAGGTTCCCGACCGGTAGTACCCGACCGGAGTGGTCGACCACCGAGCGGTAGCCCTTAGCGAGAGAGCTGAGAAGATACACGTGGCAGCGCTATGTGTTGACAGACAGGGCACCCGGGAGGACGACACGTGGTTGCTACGTGGGCGACATGCCGGACGGCCGGATTTGTGTCTCCGGCCCCGCGGCTATAAATACCCGCGATAGCAACAGTGTGAGAGACTTTTAGACGATCGATAGGTTGTTATTAGAGAATCCCGACCGCAGTCAGTCGGTACTCAGAGCAACCACTTAAATTGTACTTAGGGTCTTCACCTTGATCAATAAAAGACATTTAATTGCTTTATTTGGTCTTGTGTTCATTTAATTACCGCATTACGTGGCAATTAGTACTATCATAGATATATTGCACTTACTGTCCACTTGTTTGGCTCGACACAGTTGAAGCAAAATCACTAAAGGACCATCAAGATGAGAATTAAAATAAGGCATGACAGTTTCAACATGGTGATCTCATAGAATGCACTTAATATGATTTTTCTTAGAATAGAGATAAATCAGAAAGTAAATAGGTTTATAGAATAGAGAATAGTAGCAGAAAAGCAAAACTTTATTGGTAGTAATTTTTAGAAACCAAATCAGAAGCCAAATGCAAAGGGCTTCGTGCAGAAGAGTTATTATGTGGAACAACTTCCAAAACTTTTGAGAAACCAAAATGATGCGGGCTTTAAGTGGACGGAAAAATGGAGCCATGTGATTGTCCAAGATTTTATGAATTTATTATATAGTAGGATGTGATGTGTCTTTAATTTGTTTGCATAAGATTAACTACATACAATATTTAACTGTGTACATATACTTTTTGGACAAGAATTCATAATACAATATGAACACTGGTCCATGTATAACAATTGAACAAACGTGGCTTATATTTAACCAAGAGTATTATCATTAATTAGGGGGTCTCTGTCAAGAGATTAATCGAGTTAGGTAAGAAAATTTCCAAGAGTGTTTGATTATGTCAAAATGACATGTTTGAAGACGAAGGAACCTCGGGAGGACTTTTGACGTTGTCTCTTTGATTACACCTTTTTTGATCTTGCTTGCTTCTTTCTGGATCCCCAGGCCAGATTCCTAACTTTACGTGCGTCTTAGCTTTGTTTCCCCAGTCCCACTATTTCAAGAACAAATCGCTTCTGATCTTTTTCCTTTTTGTTGGGGTATTCTCTCATAGTCTTGATTCTGGGTTTTGCTTAATTCCTTTCCAGTTTCACAAATCAAAGTTTTACCCATTCAAAAACCCATTTTAATTTCTTGCATGTTCTGTGAGCCAATTCAAAGGTGTGATTTTTAGTGTTGGTTTCCATGGCTGCAAAGTATTTCCCTTTGAGATGGGAGAGCACTGGGGATCAATGGTGGTTTGCCTCTCCCATTGACTGGGCAGCTGCCAATGGGCACTATGATCTGGTGAGAGAGCTTCTTCACCTGGACCCAAATCTGCTCATAAAGCTCACATCTCTCAGGAGAATTCGCCGCCTAGAGACCCTCTGGGACGACGAGGAACACCTGGGCGGCGCCGTGGCTATCTGCCGCGCTCAAGTGGCCAAAAAGCTCCTCTATGAATCCGAGACCAAGAAGGGACAGACTTCGCTGATCAGAGCTGGGTATGGGGGGTGGCTTCTTTACACTGCCGCCTCGGCCGGGGATTTGGAGTTTGTGAGAGAATTGGTGGGGAGAGAGCCACTTCTGGTGTATGGGGAAGGGGAATATGGGGTTACCGATATGTTTTACGCGGCGGCCCGGAGTAAGGATTGTCGGATTCTCAGGCTGTTGCTTGATTGTTGCGTCTCCTCACCAAAGCCAAAGGGTAGTGGGGAGTTATCCTCTGCAGGTTTCAAGAAGGAAATGGTGAATAGGGCTGTTCATGCTGCTGCGAGAGGAGGGAATGTTGAGGTTCTGAGAGAGCTTCTGGGGAATAATTGCTCTAACATTTTGGATTTGGATTATAGGGATGATCAGGGAGCTACTCTCTTGCATTCAGCTTCAGGAAGAGGACAGGTTGAGGTTAGTATCAATTATACATACATTGTTGTGGTTTCTATCGGGTAGGATCAAGCGCTTACCATTACGCTAAAAGCTATAGTTAGTAGCGAATGCGTAACTTTATTTCCTTATACCGGTTCCACATTTTCAAGTGTTAAGATCAAGTGCGAGCTATAGCTAGCACAACTTTATTTCCTTATAGACTCTCATGCATTTTCAACTGGGTGCTGGACTTGGCTTTTACCTTTAACCGGCCTCCGTCTAACGCCTAACCACCTGGTGTTGGACTTGGCTCTTTGCCGGCCTCAACCCAACACCATCACTGCTAGTTGCTTTATGAATTGCATTTTACAATTATATTCTCCATACTTGATATCTACTACCTTTGCACTCCAATATGGCCATGGTGAATGAAAATGCCAACATTATATTAATTTTTCCTGCTCTTGACTGGACCACATATGTATTTTGGGGCCACAGCCATTGAAAGTTTTTGCAGTTAGTTATGTTAGTCACAGGAAGCTTGTGTTTCTGTCTATTATGTATGCTTTAAAGTGGTTATTTACCTTTAAGTGCTACAGCAAAGAAGCTTCTCAGTGGAATTGAAGCAGCCTCTACTGCATTTATTTGACTTTATTTCCATTTAATTTCTTTACCAATATTCATCAACTGTTAGCTAGAGTATAGTACGGAGTAATAGTTATGACTGTGTACGATGTATGTTCTGTAATCTGAACAGGTAGCTCAGTTGGTTCTTGAGTATCAGATTGTAGGCAAGGGCAAGAGTAATTAGCGTTATAAGGCCTGCACGGATAGTTCAGTTGGTTATTGAATGTCAGATTGTTGGCAAGGGCAAGAGTTTGAATTTTATTCGAAGCTATGTTGCCATATATAAAGGGTCTTCTGTATAATTAAATTTGGTTATTCTCTTCTTACTGCACAGGTGGTTAAGAGTTTATTAGCATCCTATGATGACATTAGCAATTCCCGGGATAAGCTAGGGAACACAGCGCTACATGTGGCTGCTTACCGGGGCTACTTAGCTGTCGTGGAAGTTCTTGCATCAGCATCTTCATCATCCGTCTCACTGACAAACGATCATGGAGACACGTTTCTCCACATGGCTGTCGCGGGCTTCAACATCCCGAGTTTCCGGAGATTGGACCGACAAATAGAGCTAATGAAGCAGTTGGTGAGTGGGGAAGTTGTGAACATAGAAGGCATCATCAATGTAAGGAACAATGACGGTAAAACTGCTCTTCATGTTGCTGTAATGGACAGCGTTGTTCAAACTGATCTGGTGGAGCTTCTAATGACCGTGCCCTCAATTGATCTGAATATCTGTGATGCTGAAGGAAATACTCCATTGGATCTCCTCAAGCAACACCCGCAGTCTGCTTCTTCGGAGATATTGATAAAGCGATTTGTTTCAGCAGGAGGGATTTCCAATTTTCGAGACCATACGACGAGAAGTGCCATAGTTCCACATCGAAAGACACACGAGTGTATCATTGGCAGCCCGGGGACCTCTTTTAGGATGTCTGATGCAGAAGTGTTTGTGCACGCGGGTGTTGAGAATAATGTGTCTGATGATGTTCACAGTGGCCTTGCAGGCACGGATGATCACGAAACGACTCAAATGAGTCCTTGCCATTCTGTTGCTGGTTCTAACTCATCACAGGGCAAGAAATCGGCTTCAGTAAACAGTGCTGCCAGGCGTCTAAAGGCGCTTCTGCAACGAGCGTGGAGAAAAGAGGCAATCGAAAAGGACTGTTGTGTTGAATCTCACACGGGGTGTTTGAGCTTAGCCGAGAAACCGCCGCCTATCCCACTACGACAGAGATTTTCCGCGACGCCCTCTCTTGCAGACAACCAAGAAACAACACCAACTTCTTCTTTGTCTCCCAGTAGTCCATCTTCTAAAAAGAAGTTTGGTGGCGGGCTAAGGTGCGGTGTCTTCCAAGCAACACCACGTTCATCCTTCGGGTCACCTTTAAGTGTCCTTTCAGGGTCATCTTGGGCATCTCCCGCGTCTCTGAGTCAGGCAAGGAGCGGGGACCTGGGCAACACCAGCAGCGTGAAGCTCTTCCACAACGGAGAGAAGTCGAAAATGAAACGCAAATACAATTCCCTCAATATGAGGCTGGTGAACAAGTATTTGTGCTTTGGTGCTCAAGGCCTAGCCATGGAACATAATCCCAGTAACAGCAAAAGCTGCAACCCGCAGGATGAGTTTTACAAGCATCCAGTTGTAGCATGATCCACTTCATTCTAACAGGAGTTTTGTCCACCAGAGTATGCTGATGAAAATTTGTGAAGTATTAGAGGAAGCAAAACATAATTTTAAATGCTTCCTTATTATGGAGCATTTTTTTTTTTTTTTTTAAATCAAGCCACGAGTGTCCTGAATAGGCCCTAACTGTAAGAGGTACTTTTAAGTCCGTACCTTACTCAGACTAATCTCCGTTCGCACTGAGCCGTCCCAATTAAGGGGTAAAGTACTGGCTAGATTAGTTTTTTTATACGAGAAGGGTTTCAAACTCCCGACCTCTCTTAAGTGACAAGAGTGCACAGTCACTCACGCCAATCAAGCTGGTTATTATGGAGTATCTTTAGCTAGCGATAGACTTCATGTTGAGGCCTTGCGGGCAGCTGTGAATCTGTGATGCTGTTGAGAACTTGAGATTTGCTGGAAAGGCCTTAAAACGCCACTATAGGACTCAGATTATTTATTCAAATGCTTAAAATATTTGTCAGCATTTCTATTGGATATTGGATTCACTCTACCTTTTTAATTGTCAAAAATATGGCTTAGGTTTAATTTTTGATTAGTCTAACATCAGTCGTTATGCTCTGGACCCGTGTCCAGCATGCATGCTGGACACGGGTAACAGTGCCCCGTTAGGCACTATTATTTCTTTTTTTTTTTTCTTTTTTTTTTTAATTTCATATTCGTTATAGGAGTATATGTTCATAATTTTATTACTATATGTTCATAATTGTAAGTTCATAATGTCAGAGCTCTATGTTCATAATTCAATAACTGTACATTCATACTTCCATAACTGTACATTCATAATTCCGTAACTGTACATTCATAATTCAATAACTGTAATTTCATAATTTTCGAAACTCTATGTTCACAATTTTAGAGCTATATGTTCATAATTTTATCACTATATGTTCATATTGTAAGTTCATAATGTCAGAGCTTTGTGTTCATAATTCCATAACAGTATATTCATAATTGCATAACTGTACATTCATAATTGCATAACTGTACATTCATAATTCCGTAACTGTACATTCATAATTCAATAACTGTAAAATCATAATTTTCGAAGCTCCATGTTCACAATTTTAGAGCTCTATGTTCATAATTTTATCACTATATGTTCATAATTGTAAGTTAATAATGTCAGAATTCTGTATTTATAATTTTATAACTTACATTCATAATGTCATAATTGTACATTCATAATCCCATAACTGTACATTCATAATGGCACAAACGAATAACCCGAGACAAAATTAATTTTTTTTTTTAACTGGAATGACGCTTTTTTCTTAAAAACGACGTCGTTTTGGACTCGTGTCCACAATGCATTGTGAACACGGGTCCAAGGCATAATTTGCCTTCTAACATGACAGAAACCGTTGTATTGTGGCTCTGTTTGGCAAAACCTAGCTGAAAAGCTATAAGCTAGGAGCTGAAAGCTGAAAATGAGCTGAAAGTTGAAAAGCTATAAGCTCGGAGCTGAAAACTGAAGAGTTGTTAAGCTAGCTGTTATGATTGAAAGTGTTTGGTAAAATTAATTTTTTGATAAGCTGATAAATGTAAAAAGACTAAAAAGGACATCTTCACAAAATTTAAATTAATTTATTTACATAATAAATTTAACATTTTGTCTTTAAAAAAAAGTTGACATTTTGAAATAAAACTATTAAAATAATCATGATCTAACATCTCATAATGAAGTAGCAATATTATTGCAAATCTCATAATAATAATAATAATAATAATAATAATAATAATAATAATAATAATAATAATATTTGCGGTGAAAGTTGTGGATTATGTCATTTCTTTAAAATAATAAGGATAAAGATGGAAAAAAAGTTAGGAAGTTAGGAGTTTATTTTGAGAACATTACCAAAAGTTTAAAATAAGCTATAAGTTCTGCCAAAGAGAGCATGTGTCTCATGCATTAATGAGTTGATATGATAATAATTATTTAATTTCAAATTTATATCTACAATCTACATCTACATCTATCTACAAATTTAATAAGAGCCAATAATGTTAGGCCCTTACGGGAACAAAAAAAATATTGGTAGTAGTTGTTTCTTAAAATGAATGGTTCATATTATTTTGATTTTAGTATCTTTTAATGAGTTTCCTTATTTACCCTCTATTATATTATATTTTCTTCCCTTAAATAACCCTAAATTCCGTTAGTATAAACTTTATTAACGGAATATTCCGTTAACTATTTATTATTCTTAACATACTCATTATAATTTATATAAGAAAGGTCTTAGGTTCGAACCTTATCCCAATATAGTTGGCATAATTGTTAAACATATATTATGAATATGTTAAAATGTATTAAAAATATATATATAATATAAAATTTAACATAAACTTTGGTCAAATAATTAGCCTAACTAAATACATAGCATTCAAAGTTGAGCATCAAAGATTATAAATCATGAACTACTTTAAAATCATTTGATTTTCTTAAATTTTTTATTTAAAAAAAAATTTAGGTTACATTTTTTTTTATGTTTAATTAATCTTCTTTTGATTATTTAGAACAAAACTTAATATTTTAATTATGCTTTTGCATTATTGGAATGATTTAGGTTATTATGGTATTAATATTTTTTGTATTTTTTTATAATGGTACAATTGTACATTACTTTACAAATATTCTACTATTACTTTTTTTATCGGGCAAAATTGCTCTTACATCGTTGTCAAACCTGCGCGCAGGGACGGAGCAAGAAATTCGATTGAGGGGGGGCGAAGTAGGACGGATTCAGAAATTTTTTCCAGTAAAAGTGAAACATTAAAACAAAAGATATAATTTTAAAAATAAATAAATAAATTACGTAAGAATTTTTTTTTATAAATTACTTAAGAAATATAATGGTAATTTAATAAAATAATTTGAATACAAAACACATTATAAATTATACATATCACTATTAATATAAAAGAATGTTATGTGTTGGGTGGGGAGGGGGGGGGACAAAATATGCATTAAGGTTTTAGACCCAACCCAAGACCTCCCCTATTACCATAGATATGCTCTACCAACTAATCCAATCGTTATGCCTTGGACCCGTGTCCAGCATGCTTGCTGGACACGGGTAACAGTGCCGTTAGGCACTGTTATCTCCTTTTTTTTTTTTTTTAATTTCAGACCACTTTGTTATAGAAGTATATGTTCATAATTTTATTACTATATGTTAATAACTATACATTCATAACTCCATAACTGTACGTTCATAACTCTATAACTGTACATTCATAACTCTATAACTGTACATTCATAACGTCATAACTGTACATTCATAACTCCATAATTGTACATTCATAATTTTCGAAGCTCTATGTTCACAATTTTAGAGCTCTATGTTCATAATTTTATCACTATATGTTCATAATTGTAAGTTCATAATGTTAGAGCTCTTTGTTCATAATTCGATCAATAACTGTACATTCATAATTCCATAACTGTAGATTCATAATCTCATAACTGTAGATTCATAACTCCATAACTGTAGATTCATAACTCTATAACTGTACATTCATAATCTTCGAAGCTCTATATTCACAATTTTAAAGCTCCATGGTCATAATTTTATCACTATATATGTTCATAATTGTAAGTTCATAATGTTAGAGCTCTGTGTTCATAATTTCATAATTGCATAACTGTACATTCATAACGGCATAACTGTACATTCATAATCCAAAAAAAAATAACGCTGTTAACGCCGTTAACGGCAAAACGCGCGCGAATTTTTTTTTTTTTTTAACTAAATGATGCGTTTTTTTTGAAAAACGATGTCGTTTTGGGCCCGTGTCCACAATTCATTGTGGACACGGGTCCAGGGCATAATTTGCCGAACTAATCTAACTCCTTACTTGTTGACATTTACTAGTTTTTTTTTATACTAATACTAAAACATATACTATATATACATATACATATTATACTAGTATTTGTCCCGTGCGCTGCACGGTATGTAAATTAAAAAGTATTAATTGTGTGGATGTTATGTTATACATTGTATGAACTAATGCGGTTATAATTTATAACATATAAATGAAATATGTTTGGGAATTCAACAAAAACAATATGTAAATAATATATTACAAATAGTTGCAATTAATGATATGGTACTAAAAAAAGAAAAGTTTACAAAATTACAAATTATTGAAAACTTCATGATATACAACATTAGTGGTTGATGTAGTAGTTGAACTTGAGTCTTTTACTATCAATATTTTGAGACCATCTGGATTGTTAACCCGAGATACAGCTACGTACAACTGACCGTGTACAAAAATTGGTACTACTTGTTATATTCATGTAAGTGAATATTTCGCAGGATATTGTAAACTTACAAAGTGAATATTGTGGTATAGGCAAAATTTTATTATATCCAGTTGTGGATATAGTAAAATTAACGTATTACTATATTAAAAATTTCAAATTAGAAAGTGGATCTCGTGGTATACAATAATTTAATATACAATACACAAAAATAAGTGTCACAAAATTACAAATTATTGAAAATCTCGTGGTATACCACATTGGTTGTTGAAGTAGTATTTGTTCTTGAGTCGTTGACAATCAATATTTTAAGACCACTTGGGTTGTTAACTCGAGATGCAGCCACGTACAATTGACAATGCACAAAAATTGATTTTTTAAGTAACAATTCTACATGTGACAATGTTTGACCTTGACTTTTGTTAATAGTCATTGTATATGATAACATCAACGGGAATTGTCTTCGTTGAAACTTGATTGGCAACCGGGTATCAGACGGTGACATTGACATTCTGGGTATCAAGACTTTTGTTCCTTTGTTAACACCATCCATTAACTCAGCTTCAGTGCCTACCCGTGTGATGCACGAGATGAATATTAGGCAATATTATAATAATATTATTTATTAAAAAATGCATAACATAATATCTTGCAATTCATATGTTACAATAATTACAATATTACAATAATAATAATAATAATAATAATAATAATAATAATAATAATAATAATATTAGTAACATAAATTAATAAGTACATTAATAAATAAACTATATATATATATATATATATATATATGGTTGAGTTCAAATGAGGACAACAATATATAGAGGATTGTGAGGACAAATAATGGGCACACAACAAATCATTATCAGGCACACAATTTAATACATAATGGCACATAGCAATACATGTAAACATCAGGTTTCGAACCCAGGCTCAATTAATTAACAAATCTATGCGCACGACAAACAAACTGTGGCACACGACTTCATTCGGCCATGCACACGACATACAGGCTAATGGCACATACTACATCTGTCCTCACAGTCCTCTATAATATATTTGTCCTCATTTGAACTCAAGTCTATATATATATATATATATATATATATATATATATATATATATATATGAAAAAGTTCTGGTGCAAATCCCTCTTATCATGTGCACTTGTGCACTATTAGCAACCGTGCATGTGGCATGATGCACGGCCATCAGCGAGGGTGCACATTAGGCTGCTGCACCGGAAAAGGACCATG